AGACTATGTAACACACTAGCTTGCATCATTGGTTCTGTCGTTTTGTTACAGCATGGTCAATACAAATGTTAAAAGTAACTTAGTATTACAAATAATCACACATCTCAAATAGTATTTTACACATTTTGAGCCCTAAAACTTGAGTGAAGCAGAATAAACAAGGCTTGCATTGCTTCGATTCTTTTCCATCTTTGGTCCCATCACAGTAACCTCGTCACATTTTGAGCCCTAAAACTTTTGGACAACCTTTGCCTCAGACATGTGGTTTCCGACATGAAGGAGACTGTGTTGTCTGGGCTGTTTGACGTGGAGCTAAACTTAGCGGTGACTTCAGTGTGAAGTTTCATTCTTAGGATGCCACAAGAAGGCAGAGCTGGGGAGACGTGGTGTCAGTGTTTCTTACATGCATTTCCTTAAAAATGGATTGTAACTAAGAAATACCAGCACAAAAATCCCACCGAAAGTTCCTTTAATATCCTGGGATTAGCATATTATGGTGGAAAAAATGGAAAACAAAAGCTCTTAATGTCAAACTAACTACGAGTCTGGGCTTGAAGGAGTTAATTTCCTGCCTTGCTTTGGCCCAGTGCTCACTAACTCAGCCACCTGATTAACCTTTAACTTCCCATTGATTGGGTTTGAACCCCCTGACCCTGCTTAATTCCTCCAAGCAGCCAATCACAACATCAATTATATTGTCATTAAGTGCAATAAACAAGTTCTGACTACAAAAAATCGAACTAAACCTGCATATTTTTACATGCCAGAAGAACAAGACCTAAATGCAGTCATGTTATAAAAAATATGACAATTATTAAAAAGGCACAACTTGAAAAGAATAAGAAGAACAAATGCTATGTATGTCACTATATTTAGTTCAATAAGTGAGCCATTTCTACTAATAATGACATTCAGAAATATTGTATTCCACCTATTTTCAGACACTATTGATTCGTCAATGCAAGATGGTTTTAATACACCTTTTTTTACTGATTCTGTATTTTTTTAACTACTTTTTCTACACTCAAAATACATCTTTCTACCCTTTGAATACACTTATTGTATTTAAAAGTAGCACAGCTTCTATAGAACAAAAACACAGCACATTTCAGAGTCAAACCTTATTTTTACGTAGTTCCCTAACACATCTGAAAATGTGATTTAAGAAGGAGACGTGAAAGCAGCAGGAGTCGTGAGCAGTTCAACAACAAGCCCTGATGCAATCAGAGGCCAATTTTTAAAGAGACACGGAGGTGGAGGCAGCAGGGGGGGGGAGTGGTGCACAGACAAAAGAGCATGCTGCAGTGTGTGTGTGTGTGTGTGTGTGTGTGTGTGTGTGTGTGTGTGTGTGTGTGTGTGTGTGTGTGTGTGTGTGTGTGTGTGTGTGTGTGTGTGTGTGTGTGTGTGTGTGTGTGTGTGTGTGTGTGTGTGTGTGTGTGTGTGTGTGTGTGTGTGTGTGCCCACATGGCTATAGCAGCATGACTGGATGCAAACAATCCCTCTCCATGGCGACGGGGCTCTGCTTTGTCCGGCCTCACACAGATGACTGGATTGATTGGAGCGCACGGTCTGGGAAAGTAGACCAAACAATCACCAACAATTAAGAAGCAGCCCGTGCTTTCCTGTCACTTCCTCTTTGTCTCCTCTGAATGTGGGCTTTGGAAATATGTGGAGGTGTACTATGCACCGGGGTTACCCACACTCTGGAGTAAAGTGGGGGTGTTGCTGGAGTTGTGGTTTGCTGGTGGAGATTAACAACACACTTGTATTACGTACACTGCAAGTGTGTTTAAACTATTGGATGTTACAGCAAAAGCACATTTGGGGCCAGTGTTGAAAGCCATGCTAGCAGCTCTGTTGACAGCATGCTAAATGTAGGCTAAATTATATCCAACAGAATGAATACATTACATTAAGCTACATTGTGGTTATAAATTAGAATTGTATTACATACACTGAGTGTGTGTTTAAACTATTGGATGTTTTAGTAAAAGCACATTTGCAATGCTAGCAGCTCTGTGACGCTGTGAGCTAAATGCTAATGCCAGCATGCTAACTGCGCTGACATTTAACAGGTAGCTACAATGTGTGCTAACAGTTATAGCCAGAAATAATACATTACATGGTAGTTATAAGTCACTATGAGTCGTCATTTTTTGTTCAAGTGAAGTTATCAAGTATCATCAAATGTCAGTGAGTGACAAGAAATTCAAAAGTATTATGATAGTTGACCTTATATAGGTAATTATAAAATACCAAATAATGTGATTATGAATATCCCTGAGTGCTTACTGATTGCGATGAGCAGATTTTATTGCATTATAAGTATGTTTATATTACAATATATACATGGACATCACTGTAAGTGTTAAGTAATGTTTACCATTAGCTTATTATGTGAGCATTTGCTAACAAGCACTAAACACAAAGTAAAACCGAGGCAAGATTAATCAATTTATTGGACACATTCTTACGTGAAGACAAAAATGTCCTGAGAGGAATGTGGATGGATATACAAAAAATGTTTAAATCCATCCATGGGTTAAGATATTTCGTGCCAGCCAAACCACAGGATATGCTCACGTCAGCACTGCAGGTATTTGGGATTTAAAAAGCTAATTAAATTAGGATTTGAACCCGTGTCCTCAGACATAATGTCATTTTTCTTGATGGACTATAGTGGGTGCTCAGAGGTCTTCCCGTAACACACTCATGACTTTGTGATTTTCACTTGGCACACAGCCTTGTATCGTACAGCACAATATCTCATCCTATATCTCCTCCCTTTCTGTCCTATTCATCGTCCGACATGAAAGCTGATAAAGATGTTTAGATAAATCAAAGGTGACTGGAACAAAACCAAAACCTTTTTCAGTTTGCAATTACATATTAACCAGTATTTTAACGTTGCACTACTCTACGTCCTGGATTCTTATTTTCACCTGTGTGTGTTTCTTTTTCTAAAACTACAAACTTTTTTTTTTCAACGTTCTTTAATCTCGTCATGTCAAACCGAGCGCTCAACGGAGACACCTTTTTAGAGATTACTTCCACATCAACTGAGTCAGCTGAGCGGAGGGGAGGTGGTTGCAGGTTAAACAAAAACATGGAATAATTAAGCAGAGTGAAACGATCCAGAGAGAAATCACACTGAACAGCTTGAACTGTCAACCATCCATCCTGCAAGATAAGACTCTCCTGTGAACTAAACGTTTTCAATGGAGGCAATACAGGCCAATTTTCAGAGGTTATTAATCCACATGACTGAAACATCCTGCAATGGAAATATCTTTATCACAATGACCACTAATGTCCGAAAATAAGTTGTTGAATGGGTGAAAACAACTGAAAAAACAGCAATTTAGCATTTTTGTTATATTTCAGTGCCTGTAATGACCACCATATTGAAGTTGGGTGACATATTGCCAAATTTAAGTCTAAAAAAAAATTAAAAACTAATCAGCCTGAAGCAGACAATAAGCCTTTAACCCTGTAAGACTTGGAGCTTAGCTAACATAGAGGTGGAGGGAAGGGGGGTCCAGACTGGATTATTTACACTGTAGAGTTTGTTTAATTAAAGTTTTCTGCTTTGGGAGCTGATGAGGAGGCTAATATGGACGACATGGAATAACATGTTTACTAGTTTAGATACAAAACCATTGGGATTATTAATATGACTGAGAGGGAGAAATTAAAGACAGCTTTTATGTTAAAGGGACACATATGATTGGATGCTTAGAGAGGAAACTGCACTGAACATTCTGCAGAATGTTTTAGTCTTTTAAAGTTGATTAAATATCATTGTTCCAGTTTTCCTAATAAATAATTGTCACCGATTAGCAAATAAAAGAAAGTGAACAGGAAACATTTTGAGAATCAATTCATTATTAAATTAATTTGGGAGGACTTGCTGCTAAATATAAATGTATATACATGTACTACATATGCGTTTAGAAATTGTTAGCATGGCTTGACAAGATATTTGAAGATGGGATTTTGGGCTTTCAAGAAATGTGAAGAAGCTTTTTTTGTACTTTTTGACATTTTAAAAGATCAAGGAAACAGATTAAACAGATGGAAATGTGTTGCTGTAGTTGCTATAGCAGCCAATATCTTTCAAAGCACATCATTTTATTTAACAAGGAACAACATTTAAACATCTATTAGAGACAAAGAAGTATTGGGAAGGGGCGGGATATTGAAATAAAGGAGGGAATGTGAAGTTGCTAGCACTAATTATGTTGTGCAAATGTAGGTCAATTAACCTACAATACCTGATACGTTCTACTGTCATGCACACAAGAGAATATATCGTTTTGTGGTTGTGCTGCAGAGTTTCTCTACTACAAACACAACGGCTGTGAATGAGTTTTGTCCTTGTTTCCATCACGTGTGCTTCAAGGACTTCCTGCTCTTTCTGTCGCTGTGTGACTCCATTAAAGGAACTCTGATTAAAAGCCACTGCTGAGCGAGCGCTTATTGCCCAACTCTATTAAGAGATTCATCGCTGCAGGGCTCAGCGCACACACAGACACACACACACACACACACACACACACACACACACACACACACACACACACACACACACACACACACACACACACACACACACACACACACACACACACACACACACACNAATTAGCATCAATAGGAAGAACATATGCGGGTCATTCCAGAATTGGAGGACATTTCATGTCCCCCATATAAAAAATCTAATAATCCAAGCATTTTGGGCATGGATTATTAGATTTTTTATATGGGGGACATGAAATGTCCTCCAATTCTGGAATGACCCGCATATGTTCTTCCTATTGATGCTAATTTTGTAATTTAGGTGAGAACGAATTCAGAAGCTGAAGTACTGTGCTTCTGATGCTTGGGAAAGCCTGTTGAAAGAAAGGGATTTAAATCATGCTGCACATTTGTACAAAAACGCTCAAATTAGGAGCTTTGAGTGAAAAGGAATTAGAGTCACATGAGAAGCCGATAAGACCTAAAGCAGCTGTCCTCCTTTGTCATCAGTATGGATGTGAAATGGGTCTTAAAATGACCTTTAAAGTCATAAATGTAACACCGGACCACCATTTTAAGAGTTAACAGAAGCTTTTTAAAGACCGCCTGAATCTACATGTAGTGTGTTCTCTGTGCTTTAAGAGGGTCAGCTTTAATGTCCAGGACTCTCTATAAATAGACCACTAGGTGAAGGATTCAGTGTGCGGTTGAAATGTGAAGCGTTGAGTCAGTGTGTGTTTATTAAACTGTGACTAATAGAAAAGGAAATTCCAACAGCACCTTAACCACAGGATCTGAGGTTACCCACTGTGGAGCTCAGTCGGACACTAAAAATGGAAGTGATATATTTACAAGGGAAGCTGAACTGAAATAGAACCAAACATGTTGCAGGAAACTCATTTGTGTGCATGTATGATTTATTCATTCGCACTTGCAGCAGGCGCTTCGAAGTGATTGTTAGTTAGATCACGAACCTATCCAAAGTCTGGAAATGGCATGATGAAAACTCCGAACAATAGCTGCAACCACTGAAGCATAGAGGTGTCTTTCCAAGTGTTGGAAGTTATTAGCAAGGGTAAAGGAAATCGAAGCTTGTTTCCACGAGGAAACACACTGCAGAGGTGAAGCTGTTGTGCAGAGAATTCAATTAGTTTTCAATTGACTTTCCCTGAACTCACACACTCGGGTCAATGCTTATATCCTGCGTACAGCATTTCAAGGATTTAAGGGATAGTTTGGAAAAGGGTTGTATGAGGTACTTATCCAGAGTCAGTGTATTACCTGCAGTCGTTTGGAGAAGAGACATGAGAAGGGATGTCTTAGGGCCCGGTGATAGTGTCCAGAGGAAGATAAACATGTGTTTGGGACACAATTTACTCACTTTCAACTCGTCCAAGGGAAGCACGCTATTATTTCCTTGTTATTTCGTGAAAACCATAGCCGTGTTGTATTCAGCAAGAAAGCTAGTTGACATTAGCCGTTAGCATCCAGTTACAGAGGTCGCTGTTATTTGCTCTTTTCAGTAAAAGTGAATATTGGCCCGAGGCTAGGGCTGCTCAATTAATCGTTTTTTAATCGCTATTACGATTTTGGCTTGCAACGATTATTAAAACAACATAATCGAAATAAAACGATTTTTAAAAAAATGTTTTATTATTATTTATTTATTTAAAAAAAAAAAATGTATTGGTTTTTAAATTGAATTATACTTAAAGTTCAGGGTAATCAACTGTTAAAAACACTATACACCTTTTTATTTTTCAATAAATTGATGTTTTCAAAGTAAATGGATAATCGTTTTTAATTTAATTTAATTTAATTTCAAACCTTTATTTAGACAGATTGGTCCCTTGAGATCATCGATCTAATTTACAAGGGAGACCTGCATCATTTAGTTCCACATGAAACATAAAAA